TAGCCCTACTGCAGTACAAGATGGGAAGATACAATAGTACACGCTTAGGTCATTATAGTTTTGTGTTTTTCCGTTAATTGCTTACTACCCCTCCCCACCACCAGCCCAAAAACTGATCTTGTCTCTCTCTCCTGTCCTATTTTTGTAGTTTCTCAAAGTCTTATTTTGTCAACAGAAAATCACAAAACATACTGTGAGTTCCCATCTCTCTCTCTCTCGCTCTCTCTGGCTCAATTAAATTCAAAGGGCTTTATTGGCATGGGAAACATATTTTTACATTGCCAAAGCAAGTGCAATAGATAATAAACAAAAGTGGAATAAACAATCAGAAATGAAGAGTAAACATTACACTCACAAAAGTTTCAAAGGAATATAATGTAATTTTATGGCTATGTACAGTGTTGTAACAATGTGCAAATAGTTAAAGTACAAAAGGGAAAATATGGGTTGTATTTACAATGGTGTTTGTTCTTCACTGGATGCCCTATTCTTGTGGCAGCAGGTCACAAATCTTGCTGCTGTGATGGCACACTGGTATTTCACCTAATACAGTGAGGGAAAAAAGTATTTGATCCCCTGCTGATTTTGTACGTTTGCCCACTGACAAAGAAATGATCAGTCTATAATTTTAATGGTAGGTTTATTTGAACAGTGAGAGACAGAATAACAACAAAAAAATCCAGAAAAACGCATGTCAAAAATGTTATAAATTGATTTGCATTTTAATGAGGGAAATAAGTATTTGACCCCCTCTCAATCAGAAAGATTTCTGGCTCCCAGGTGTCTTTTATACAGGTAACGAGCTGAGATTAAGAGCACACTCTTAAAGGGAGTGCTCCTAATCTCAGTTTGTTACCTGTATAAAAGACACCTGTCCACAGAAGCAATCAATCAATCAGATTCCAAACTCTCCACTATGGCCAAGACCAAAGAGCTCTCCAAGGATGTCAGGGACAAGATTGTAGACCTACACAAGGCTGGAATGGGCTACAAGACCATCGCCAAGCAACTTGGTGAGGTGACAACAGTTGGTGCGATTATTCGCAAATGGAAGAAACACAAAAGAATTGTCAATCTCCCTCGGCCTGGGGCTCCATGCAAGATCTCACCTCGTGGAGTTGCAATGATCAAGAGAACAGTGAGGAATCAGCCCAGAACTACACGGGAGGATCTTGTCAATGATCTCAAGGCAGCTGGGACCATAGTCACCAAGAAAACAATTGGTAACACACTACGCCGTGAAGGACTGAAATCCTGCAGCGCCCGCAAGGTCCCCCTGCTCAAGAAAGCACATATACAGGCTCGTCTGAAGTTTGCCAATGAACATCTGAATGATTCAGAGGAGAACTGGGTGAAAGTGTTGTGGTCAGATGAGACCAAAATGGAGCTCTTTGGCATCAACTTAACTTACTGTGTTTGGAGGAGGAGGAATGCTGCCTATGACCCCAAGAACACCATCCCCACTGTCAAACATGGAGGTGGAAACATTATGCTTTGGGGGTGTTTTTCTGCTAAGGGGACAGGACAACTTCACCGCATCAAAGGGACGATGGACGGGGCCATGTACTGTCAAATCTTGGCTGAGAACCTCCTTCCCTCAGCCAGGGCATTGAAAATGGGTTGTGGATGGGTATTCCAGCATGACAATGACCCAAAACACACGGCCAAGGCAACAAAGGAGTGGCTCAAGAAGAAGCACATGAAGGCCCTGGAGTGGCCTAGCCAGTCTCCAGACCTTAATCCCATAGAAAATCTGTGGAGGGAGCTGAAGGTTCGAGTTACCAAACGTCAGCCTCGAAACCTTAGTGACTTGGAGAAGATCTGCAAAGAGGAGTGGGACAAAATCCCTCCTGAGATGTGTGCTAACCTGGTGGCCAACTACAAGAAAGGTCTGACCTCTGTGATTGCCAACAAGGGTTTTGCCACCAAGTAGTAAGTAATGTTTTGCAGAGGGGTCAAATACTTATTTCCCTCATTAAAATGCAAATCAATTTATAACATTTTTGACATGCGTTTTTCTGGATTTTTTTGTTGTTATTCTGTTATAAACCTACCATTACAATTATAGACTGATCATGTCTTTGTCAGTGGGCAAACGTACAAAATCAGCAGGGGATCAAATACTTTTTTATATATGGGAGTTTATCAAATTTGGATTTGTGGGTCTGTGTAATCAGCGGGAAATATGTTTATTTAATATGGTCATACATTTGGCAGAAGGTTAGGAAGTGCAGCTCAGTTTCCACTTCATTTTTTGGGCAGTGTGCACATAGCCTGTCTACAGCGGCCTCTCTCAACAGCAAGGCTATGCTCACTGAGTCTGTACATAGTTAAAGCTTTCCTTAATGTTGGGTTAGTCACAGTGGTCAGGTATTCTGCCACTGTGTACTCTCTGTTTAGGGCCAAATAGCATTCCAGTTTGCTCTGTTTTTTGGTTAATTCTTTCCAATGTGTCAAGTAATTATCTTTTTGTTTTCTCATGATTTGGTTGTGTCTGATTGTGTTGCTGTCCAGGGACTCTGTGGGGTCTGTTTGTGTTTGTGAACAGAGCACCAGGACCAGCTTGCTTAGGGGACTCTACTCTAGGTTAATCTCTCTGTAGGTGATGGCTTTGTTATCGAAGGTTTGGGAATCGCTTCCTTTTAGGTGGTTGTAGAATTTAACGGCTCTTTGATAATTATTGACCTAATTCTGCTCTGCATGCACTATTTGGTCTTTTACGTTGTACAGTGCCTTGCAAAAGTATTCATCCCCCTTGGCGTTTTTCCTATTTTGTTGCATTACAACCTGTAATTTAAATGGATTTTTATTTGGATTTCATGTAATGGACATACACAAAATAGTCCAAATTGGTGAAGTGAAATAAAAAAAATAACTTGTTAAAAAGAATTATACTAAATAAATAACGGAAAAGTGGTGCGTGCATATGTATTCACCCCCTTTGCTATGAAGCCCCTAAATAAGATCTGGTGCAACCAATTACCTTCAGAAGTCACATAATTAGTTAAATAAAGTCCACCTCTGTGCAATCTAAGTTTCACATTATCTGTCACATGATCTCAGTAAATATACACCTGTTCTGAAAGGCCCCAGAGTCTGCAACACCACTAAGCAAGGGGCACCACCAAGCAAGCGGCACCATGAAGACCAAGGAGCTCTCCAAACAGGTCAGGGACAAAGTTGTGGAGAAGTACAGATCAGGGTTGGGTTATAAAAAAATATCTGAAACTTTGAACATCCCACGGAACACCATTAAATCCATTATTAAAAAATGGAAAGAATATGGCACCACAACAAACCTGCCAAGAGAGGACCGCCCACCAAAACTCACGGACCAGGCAAGGAGAGCATTAATCAGAGAGGCAACAAAGAGACCAAAGATAACCCTGAAGGAGCTGCAAAGCTCTACAGCGGAGATTGGAGTATCTGTCCATAGGACCACTTTAAGCCATACACTCCACAGAGCTGGGCTTTACGGAAGAGTGTCCAGAAAAAAGCCATTGCTTAAAGAAAAAAAGGAGCAAACACGTTTGGTGTTCGCCAAAAGGAATGTGGGAGACTCCCAAAATATATGGAAGAAGGTACTCTGGTCAGATAAGACTAAAATTGAGCTTTTTGGCCATCAAAGAAAATGCTATGTCTGGCGCAAACCCAACACCTCTCATCACCCCGAGAACACCATCCCCACGGTGAAGCATGGTGGTGGAATTATCATTATGTGGGGATGTTTTTCATCGGCAGGGACTGGGAAACTGGTCAGAATTGAAGGAATGATGGATGGTGCTAAATACAGGGAAATTCTTGAGGGAAACCTGTTTCAGTCTTCCAGAGATTTGAGACTGGGACGGAGGTTCACCTTCCAGCACGACAATGACCCTAAGCATACTGCTAAAGCAACATTTGAGTGGATTAAGGGGAAACATTGAAATGTCTTGGAATGGCCTATTCAAAGCCCAGACCTCAATCCAATTGAGAATCTGTGGTATGACTTAAAGATTGCTGTACACCAGCGGAACCCATCCAACTTGAAGGAGCTGGAGCAGTTTTGCCTTGAAGAATGGGCAATAATCCCAGTGGCTAGATGTGCCAAGTTTATAGAGACATACCCCAAGAGACTTGTAGCTGTAATTGCTGCAAAAGATGGCTCTACAAAGTATTGACTTTGGGGGGTTGAATAGTTATGCACGCACAAGTTTTCTGTTTTTTTTGTCTTATTTCTTGTTTGTTTCAAAATACAAAATATTTTACATCTTCAAAGTGGTAGGCATGTTGTGTAAATGAAATGATACAAACCCCCCAAAAATCCATTTTAATTCCAGGTTGTAAGGCAACAAAATAGGAAAAATGCCAAGGGGGGTGAATACTTTCGCAAGCCACTGTACATGGAGACTGCAGTCTCAATTTGGTGTTTGTCCCATTTTGTCTCTCTCGCTCTCTCTCTCTCTCTCTCTCTCTCTCTCTCTCTCTCTCTCTCTCTCTCTCTCCTCTCTCTCTCATTCTTTCTCTCTCTCATTCTTTTTTCTCTCTCTCTCCCTCTCTCTCTCTCTCTCTCTCTCTCTCTCTCTCTCTCTCTCTCTCTCTCGCCCTTCCTTGTTTAACGCCTCTCCTCAAATCCCTCCATATTGGGATTCAGCAGATTTGGTTAAATTCTGCGACAGTGTTTTGCTGCTCAAGTTTAGCGATTACTCCAGTTCTGGGAGGGGAGAGGGTCTGAAGAACTCCCTCTCTGAGTGAGTTTGACACCCCGTCTGTTTGACACCTCATCTGTTTGGAAAAACATATCTTGAGAGCTAAATGAATCCCCACACTTTGCTTTCAGTCAGCTAAAGACTGGTGTTTATTACGGAGATTAGGGCAAAGAAAATAAAGTCCTTAAGATGACATTTACTTCACAAGGACTACGATTTCCGACAGACCCCGGATTCCTTCATTATATAGTCCAGTTGCTACTTGGCATCTGGGACTGAATTGAGTCTTAAGATTGGCTTTCTAGAAGCCAGATGGCCTTATCCAAAATGTAGCTAACATGTTTTTATACTTAGGCTGTGTGATTGAGGTCTAAAATACGAGGCCCTTCTGAGTAAACACATGAAAACCTCCTGTCTGCAGTAACACAAGAATCAGCCCCCACTTAATGAACACATTAATCCACTTATTCCTATGTACTTACCCCACTTACATCACTCTTTCTCTGTGAATACAGAGAAGCTGATTTTAGAGCCATATTAATGCTGGGAGCAAGTCTTCAGTAGAATGCTGTTACTGGTGCTTGACTGGTGTCCTGGTGTGTGGCTCTGTCTGCCTGCAGGTGCCAACTCCATTGTGAATACACACACACACACACACACAGGGACTGGTGCAGTGGCATGGCGGGCGGCCAGGGCTAATTGGCTAGATGGAGGGGGTTGGAGTGTAAATCTCACTATGTACAGGAGATAGTGACACCCCTCCACTGGCACTTTATGGGCACCGGGAGGGGAGGTGAGGTAGCGGGCGGAAATTGGGCAGCGGGTGGATCCAGGGCACTGAGGCTGGCATTGTGATGTGGACTCTGAAAGGACCCTTCAAATTAGGCAGCTAGGGAAGGAGGGAGAAAGGGAGAGGGTGGTGAGAGGAGAATAGGAGGGGGAAATCCGAGAGAGGTTTAATGAGAATAAACAGAGCCCCTAATCGTGATGGGTCTGTTTCTTTTTCTTGGAAATGCTTGGCAAACCTGATTTAGTCAGGGGGATGATTTTATCCAAACCTCTGTCAGTTGATCTGTCATGAGACTGGTCACTGTTTGCTTTGCCCCGTGACTGTTTACCTTCTTTATCTATGAGAGATTTAAAATAGAAAAATAGGTGAATGATTGGTGGCAGTCTCTAGACCGCCTAAACAACCCTTGATACAGTAACTGTCTGCTATATCGGATGCAGATATTTTTATGATACATAATTGTGTCAGACAGGTTCAGACACCATGTGAGAGGTCATTTTCATGATGTCCCATAGACATTAATGACCAGTGCAGTCAAAATGCTGTTTTTCCTGTGTTTTATATCATATTGTCACAGATGACGAAACTAACAATGTGAAAGTGTGACAAAATGTTATACGTGTTATTTCCTGATAGTTTCTGGTTGAAAATACAATCTACACAGGGCCTTTTAATCAGCAGGTTTGCATGAGCAGGAGTTACTGTTTTCCATGGTGACATCACCATGCGGTAAATTGGTTATTCTACAACGGGTTGGTCAAAACAAGCATTGTGATTGGTTGAAACGTGTTCTAAGCCATACTAAAAAACCTGTTTAGCACAGGTCAGCCCATGACTTAAAATGGGAATCTTGTTTTCTGTTCCATCTGAGAAATCTCTGCACATCCACTGTCCCATCAGCCCAGCCAGCCAATTCATTAACTTGATCTCCACTGTAAAAAGCAGCTAGACATTATTTCCCAAATGCTTCTAGCCTAACATTTGGGTTGCAACAATGGGAGTTTGTACAAACGTTGCTATCTGTCTCCACATTTGCAACATTCTTTCAATATTGAAATTCGATCTCCACTGTCCTATTGAGAATCAACATGCCAGTCGAAATCATGAAACAGTATCATTTTTATGGATATATACAAAGAAATGTCAGTAGAAAAACAGGCCAAACGAAATGAAATACAGTTACTTTGCTGTTATTCTAGCTGCACAGTTTGACGTAACTGTGTTAGCCGTAGTTGGCTAGCTAGCAAGCAAGGGATGAGAGCGTTGCCAGCCAGCAGAGTTTTTTATTTAATTGGTAACCCGTTGTAGAAAATTAATTGTACACTCAACGTTGTGCAAAACAACTTTTTTAGCACTGCTGTGCTGATCTACGGTATTCGGCTCCACCTCGTACCTATGACCACAGCACCGCCGTGCTAAAAAAGTTGTTTAGCACTCCCTCTCATGTACAATTGCTTTAATAGACCAATAATGAATAGAGTTCCAAACCTCTCTGCCAGCTAGTTTTCCCTCCCCACTCAGACCACTCCCAGACAGTCCAAGCAAAATTCTTGCTTGAGGAATAGTTTTTTGCTAAAAAGCTATTTTTGCCATTTTAATGGAAATCTATTACAGTAAGGTACTTAATTGTTACCCAGAAATGATTTAATATTGAAATAAAAACGTCTACATTGAGCCTTTAATAACCCACCTTACTGCAACTCTGTGACCTTCTCCGCTCAATAATCATCAATCTCAGTTAACCTACTGCTATATTGGTATACTAGTAGTGGCCCATACACTGCTCAGACATATAAAGCATCGCCCTCAACGTGACCAAGACAAAGGAGATGATTGTGGACTACAGGGAAAAAAAGAGGACTGAGCACGCCCCCATTCTCATCGACGGGGCTGTAGTGGAACAGGTTGAGAGCTTCAAGTTCCTTGGTGTCCACATCACCAACAAACTATCATGGTCCAAACACACCAAGACAGTCGTGAAGAGGGCACGACAAAGCCTATTCCCCTCAGGAGACTGAAAAGATTTGGCATGGGTCCTCAGATCCTCAAAATATTATACAGCTGCACCATCGAGAGCATCCTGACTGGTTGCATCACCGCCTGGTATGGCAACTGCTCGGCCTCCGACCGCAAGGCACTACAGAGGGTAGTGCGTACGGCCCAGTACATCACTGGGGCCAAGCTTCCTGCCATCCAGGACCTCTATACCAGGCGGTGTCAGAGGAAGGCCCTCAAAATTGTCAAAGACTCCAGCCACCCTAGTCATAGACTGTTCTCTCTGCTACCGCACGGCAAGCAGTACCGGAGTGCCAAGTCTAGGTCCAAAAGACTTCTCAACAGCTTCTATCCCCAGGCCATAAGACTCCTGAACAGCTAATCATGGCTACCCGGACTATTTGCACTGCCCCCCCCACCCCCATCTTTTTACGCTGCTGCTACTCTCTTAATAATTTATGCATAGTCACTTTAACTCTACCCACATGTACATATTACCTCAAACTAGCCCCCCGCACATTGACTCTGCACCGGTACCCCCCTGTATATATAGCCTCCCTACTGTTATTTTATTTTACTTCTGCTCTTTTTTTCTCAACACTTTTTTGTTGTTGTTGTTTTATTTTACTTTTTAATTAAAAAATAAATGCATTGTTGGTTAAGGGCTGTAAATAAGCATTTCACTGTAATGTCTACACCTGTTGTATTCGGCGCCTGTGGCCAATCAAATTTGATTTGATTTGATTTGAAACAGCAGCTGTCTATGACTATAACTATCTGAGAAAGCCCACGAATGCATGCTCAATCCTGTAGCCTCCTCCATCCCCCTCACTTTCTATTGATCATGTTGAACATACTGCTAGTATACAGCATTCATACGTCACATATAGAAGCGTCTGCCATCTGTGAGGCCCATCGACTCCCAGCCAGTAAGTTGGAGCAGGGCGGAATGGGACCAAGAGCCTTGGGCAGTGATAAGCCACATTTATCTGCCATGGTGCGAGCTACAGTACAGGATTAGAGCCACACAATGGGCCTGTAACACAGATAGGAGGTGCACGGTAATGGCCGTGACTCCATTAGACTCTACCTTTAACTAATTCACTCACAGCCACAGAAAGACTTATTCGTTATCACTACACTATTTAGTGTCTGCGGACATGGTAGCAGAAATCCCCTTACAGTTACCCAGTAGAGGATGGGGATAGACAGTCTTAGTCGTGTAGCCTGCAGCTTGCACAGTTAGGAACACCTTCTTTTTAACAATCAACAACCTCAGACCTAGAAAATCCTCAATGCCAAGAAAGAATGGAGGTTCTAGAATGACAGAGGTTACACTGGTTACACTGATGTAGGGTTTTTATAATAGAGGAGTAGCTCTTTGTAGGAGATGGTGTATGGTTGTAGAATGATGATAGGGGCGGCGGTTCTTTCTTCCCCCTAAATATTAGCTGACATGAGCCCAATATAATAAAGCTCCCAGAAGGCCCTGGGGTATGGGTGTCTTCAACGTTATTGTCTCTCTGACAGGACTGTCATCATGAATGACCTCCTCCTGTACTATGATAGGGGAAGAAGGAGGGAGGGAGAGAGCGAGGAGGACAAGAGGGTTAAATAGGGTAGGGAAAGAGGGTGAGAGAGCGAGATGAGAAGGGAACAGATGAAGGGAGAGAAAGGGGAAGCTGAGGAGTGTGAAGGGTAGAAATATTTTTTTTTTAAAGAGGACGAGAGAAGGGGAGAGTTAGAAGGGTGGATGGGGTTAAGAGACAGATACAGATTCTCCCCATTGCAGAACAGCTGATGACATTGACCTTGTGGTAATAGTTCAGTTTACGAGGAGCCAACCTACCCTGTTTCCCCAGAGCTGGTGTGAAACCAGGGGCACTAAGCCCTCCAGATGTTCCCTGGGTAATCTCCCCACCCCGCTCCATGTACCTCATCCTCCCCCCATTCCCCACGCTGCCCAGTTCTGTATGTCTCTCAGACTAATGGCTATTTACTGTATAGTCACAAAGAGCATGGCTTTCTTAAATACCTTTAAAAGATCTGTCATTGATTCCTAATTATTTTTGTATTTTCGTATCAGATTTAAAGGGCAAGGCTCTGAGAGTGTGTCACACTGATTTAAGCCACCCGTCCAGTAACACCAAAGTGGTTGTTCATGTTGGATCGATTGGGCTGTCAGGCTTGCACTACAGTACATGCTCCAGTACAAACACACACACACACACATACATACACACACAAACACAAATGTACACTCATACTAATGCACATACATGCTCATGTGCCTACGCATTTTCACACAAATATGACCCCTGGACACACACCGAAACACTAATTCACATTTATGTGCATTCATGCACGATATCACCCCTCTAGACTTACACATAAACACGACCACACACAAAGGGAAGACTAGAGAGATCAGAGCAACACACCCACCCACACAGTAAAATATTAATGTTATTTTTCTTTAAGCATTCTATTCAAAGCTTTAAATGTGAATTGAGTGTGTTCGCCCCACTAATAGGTCATCTGGCTTGCTTAGCAATGTAGCTAGCTAACGTTACAGCCCGTACCTTATTCATTAATTCAAATCAAATCAAAATGTTATTTGTCACATGCACTGAATACAACAGTGACATGCTTACTTACAAGCCCTTAACCAACAATGCAGTTTTAAGAAAAAGAAGTGTTGAGTAAAAAATAGATAACCAAAAAAGTCAATAACAAATAATTAAAGAGCAGCAGTAAAATAACAGTAGCGAGGCTATATACATGGGGTACCGGTACAGAATCAATGCGAGGGGGCACAGGTTACGCTCCCTTCTCTGTCAATGCAATTTTCTTCTTGTCATTATAATAAAAATGTGTGTTGACTGATCAACACAGTGTCAAGTTACTTTGCAATGTATTCCCGAAAACCTGAAGTCGCCATCCAAGTAAAAAGTAGCCAGGGGGTGCGGGTGTACCCAGGTTAAACAACACCAACATCATTGCTTGCGCGACCTTTGCGCAGTCAAAAGAAAATGCCATGCTTGCTAACTTGGTTAGCTACAGTATGTGACTGTTTTCAACACATCAACTGTTTTAGACAATTATTTTAACCAAGCAAGATAAATAAACGTTTAATCAGTACTGAGTGAAAGAACAACAAAAACATTGTGCAACTAAAGCTTCCTGTCATCACCAGACTGTCCATTTAAATAGAGTGTCTAGATAATTCATTCAAGACAGGTTTTGTAGAGTAATGGTTAATCTGGGAATCGAAAGGTCCTGAGTTCGCCTCTCGGAGGAGACATTTTGACCATTCTCTTTTGTGTATAGTTTTGACTCTAAATCAGCACATCTGCCGTCCCCTTGGTGTATCCCAAGTTGTTTCTACCAAGGTGGATGACTGGGATGTCTGGGGTAGAAGTAGCACAGACCCTCTGATGGCGCAGAACACCAAGCAGTTTGTGCCACTTCATGCCTTGCACTCTGAGCCACCTAATGTGACAGTCAATAATGTATGTAAATAGTTATTGGGTAGGCTACATGTTGATTATTTGTGTCTTTTCCAGGAGCTTGCGCGATTGTCTTGTTAAAAGAGATCAGGGAAATATTTTCCAGTTTACTCCATATTTGCTTAAATGGGTTTCTGGTTTTTCGCTTCCCTCTGTAAAATCAGCTGTTAATATAAATACTAATAACTACATTATTTCTGTTGACATTTGTCATTGTGTATTTTTACTTTACTTTACAGTATTGCTGTGTTATGCTGTATCATATAATGTTGTATAATAATATTACATAATCACCTTCCGGTGTAAAAACCATGGAAATTAAAAACAAATAAATATGTTTTAAATGAGAAGTAGGCATTGGTATGAATCCGAAAAAGAAAGGAAATTCACATGAGCAAAACAATGCATACTTCACCCATGCTCTACCAAGGTTTTCCAGCACACAGCTTTGACCTACTGCAGTAGCTATGTTGGTGTATTGTACTTCCAACAATGTGTAGGCAGGTTGCTTAGGATTAAAACCTTCTCAAACAGCCAAATTCATACTCTTCAGAGGGATAATGGACTTTACATTATCCTGCTATTAAAATAATGTGTATATCATTAGGCTATTGTACATTTTTATTATTGTAGCGTCATCATCTTTATTGCAAAAATAAATACAAATACACACAACTTTAAGCTACATAGTCATTTGACTGAGGTAATGAACTGTCCATTGTTCAGAACAGCAATTGATAAAACAGGACCATGTTTGAAAAACAAGTGGTTCTGAGCTTATGTCAATATTACACAGGTAAGCTAACGGTTACAGAAATCAGGAATGCAGACAGGCTCTATAGACCTCTATATCTATATGAGTGACCGTGTTGTTATGTTGGGTACCTACTGACCTGATGGTGCTGTAAGTATAAAAGCAAAGCTTGCTTTCATATAATAAAAAAAGCTTGAAAAGGTAGTGAAATGGGGTTATGTTTTACTGTGGGGTGGGAAGAATGCAATACATTACCTTGTATGCAGTACAAATCACATTATTGTGAGCCAGACAGCACTTTCATATCAGTAATCCTGCTTCGTGCCATCTGGGAATCTTGTACCTTCTTTTCAGGGAAGGGAAATGGGAAAAGGTAGTAAATGTGGGATTTTCATGGAAGCACACACCAGATATCCCATAGTATTAAGACCAAGCCAGAGTCTAACCACAGTTTCAAAACCCACCTAATCTACAGCGGTATTAAGCTGTGACCTTTAGCCTAGTGACTTACCGAGTTATAGAGCTATTTTCAATAGCGGTTATTGTGAAAAGCTCAAACACTTTAGGCACTAACTCAAAGCTTTGCTGAGACATGAGCTGGTTAAGACTCAGTATGCCGTCAAAGGCAGTTTTAGTTGTGAAATTGGAGCTGTAGATGTGAAAGTGAAGTGTTGGGCAGAGTTCCAGTATGACTGAATCAGCTCAGAGGAGGGAGCTATGACCTCTAGAATCTACTGAGCCAGTGCTTTCATATCCTTTACAGCAGCACCCACTGCATCCCATACAGAGAGAGGATTAGACCACAGTCAAGGACTTATCAGAGGACACACAGATATATACACATACTGTATACTGCACATTAGGCTTAATCTAACACTACAGCTATGCTTGTACTTAAGCACAGTTTGCACACATTAACATTAATGCTCTTAAGTATTATCCAAACACACACACACTCCCCAGTCAGGTGGGTTTGAGTGTGTGTGTCTGAGTGAGGCAGTTGGTGTGTGCCTGTAGTGACAGCAGGCAGTAAGTCTTCATAAACCACACATCTCTTTATGCTAATCAGAGACCTCCAATTGACAGGATTCCTTAATGGTGGCACGTCAAATGTCAACAAAACCAGAAATCCCCAGGGGAGGGCTCGTTCATTCGCCTGATGAAATGTTATTCACGTTTTACGGCAGCCACGCACTCAGCCACCATAACCCCCACTGTGTAACTACGGCTCACCTTTTCTGTCCGGCAGAATGGCAGACACCCCTTCACCCCGAGGACCTCTGCATGGTCAGTGATAGCGGGAGCAGAGTGGGCTCTTACGGACAGCAGGGTGGAAGGTCAAAACCCTTGTTTGCATCCTAATCCGTTTGTGTGGTGGTCTGTATTCATTAAGGCCAGACAGCACTGACCCTCCAGCTGAGGCAACTGACCGTGGGCTGGAAGAGACCGTTCCATATGACTTAGACTGGACCACCTGGCTATCTTTGTCTATCCTGAACATGACAAATCACTGTAGAGAAAAGTGAAACAGACCTAGATTGCGCTAGCATAGATTTAGCCTGCTCCTGGACTTAAAGGAGTAGTTCACTATTTTACAACATGATGTTAGATGCTTCCTCACCCTGAAAGTAGTCTATGGGCCAAGAGAAATTGTAATCCATAGTTCGGTTTTCTTTAAACAGTCACTACAATCTTCAGCTAACTTTAGCCACCGCTAGCTAAAAATCTATGGAAGTGATGGAGGCATGACCAAAATCACCAGAAATCAACTCAAATAAACTCCATATTTGTTTTGATGTTACTTAAAGCTCATGAATATTAATGAGTCTTCATCCAACCATCAGCATTAATCGGGCTATGCGCTTAGTGATTAATTATTACACAGAGCTAATAAGGAGCATCTACTTCCTTCAACAGGGATTTAGCATCACTCTGAAAACATGCTAACGGTGGACACACATTTTTCTAAAGATTTAATGGTATCTGCAAGCTAAGCTAATAATTGCATGAAGTCCTATTAGCTGGGTAATAGAGAGTAATAAAGACAAATTGGTTGATTCAATTGGTTAAATTGGTTAAATTGATTAAATTGGTTAAACTGATGAGTCAAATTACTGAGATGTTTTCGAAGAATACATTTCAAACTCTTTCCACACACTCACACACACGCACACGCACACACTCTGCACCTGTTCTTAGACATAATGATCCCTCTGATCTGTGACTGGAGTGACGTGTGTGTTGAGGGACACTCCTTTGTCACCTCAACTCGGTCACCTGAAAGGATTACAGGTTGTGTGTCACGCTACACACACACACACACACACACACACACACACACACACACACACACACACACACACACACACACACACACACACACACACACACACACACACACACACACACACACACACACACACACACACACACATGCACGCATAATGAAAGAGACCACACTGCATGGCTGAACTCACACTTACTCTCAAAGTTAATGGATTCATACACCGATAACTACAGAAAACAGATTGCACATGCTCTCTCTCAAAGTCACACACGTATACATTCAGATCAAGCACCACACACATGCCTTTACTGAGTGTCTCCTTACTGCAGAGCTTTTTTGTAGCCTAACCTTCAGACTTATGTTTCCTGCATTTGTAAGCTAAGGGGCAACTGGCTGGGATGGGTAGTGATGGGGGACGACAGGGGAAGGTTTAAGGGGTGGTAGGGGAGGCAATCGAGGCTACCGGAATGGAAGGAAGGGGTATGGAGAAGGACAGACAGGGGGACAGAGAGAGACAGTGAGGACACAGGCTGGCCGCTCTGCAGGGCTTACAGTATCTGATCCTGTTGGCTTTGAGCCTGTCAGTCTGTCATCGGAGGAGGGGAACAGGGAGTTATCTCTGAGCTCTCTCTCTCCTCTCCTCCCTCGTTACTTTCTTACCTTCAAATGATTAATGGAGACAAGGCCATGCTCACTGCAAGGTGGGAGATGCTGCATTCAGCTGTATCTGTATTACAGTAAGCATGTTCATCTGTCATGTATTGAAAACAAATGCTAGCATCTGTACTGCTCCGACATCTTTATGTGTCAATACATGTGGGCTACTACACTCAAATCTGTTCTAACATAAATGAATTGAAGGACTTTCATCAGATGTGTTGCTTTGAATTGTGAATTACTTCCGTATTGGGATTAGATCACAGTCGTCATACGTTGATATGCAGGGATTCCTGTGTGTGAAGGAAGTAGGTCATTGTGAATTAGACTCAGTGTTAGACTCAGTTGCTGTGCCTGCTTGTCTCAGAGCTTTTGTCCCTATATGGGAGATAAGTTTGTTACTCTCACCATGGTGCCATCAGAGCTGGTAGACATTTATCCCATGGCCCAACGCCCATAGAGACACCTAGACACACACCACGCACACACACACACACACTGTACGCTGGGCACGGCCAAATGGGTACACCCACTTATCCAGGCAGATTTACTGTATTAAAACACACTCACACAAAAGCCCAAAATATGGTTAACTGACAATTTCTCATTTTTTGTCCCTTTCTCTCCATCCCTCCCTCCTCTTCTCCCTCTATCCCTGTCATTCACCCCTACAGAACAGCCAGGTGGTGGAGCTGCAGCGGACCCGTCTGCGTGATGACATCAAGGAGTATAAGTTCCGGGAGGCACGTCTGCTGCAGGACTACACAGAGCTGGAGGAGGAGAACATCTCCCTGCAGAAACAGGTCTCCGGGCTCAAACAGACCCAGGTGAAGATCAACACCATTCACTGGGGAGGGGGGGGGGGGGGGGGGGGGGGGGGTTAGCTATGTTGGGGTGTGGGGATGTGGGGATAGTAAGGAGAATAGGTAACATCTTCCTGAAGAAACGGGTCTCCTTGCTCAACAGAGGGGAAATGAGAAGAGATCAACCCATCTTTACATCACAGGAGGTTGGTGGCACCTTAATTGGGGAGGACGGGCTCGTGGTAATGACTGGAGTGGGATAGGTGGAATGGTATCAAATACATCAAACACATGGTTTCCATGTGTTTGATTCCATTGCAATTGTTCCGTTCCAGCCATTATTATGAGCCGTCCTCCCCTCAGCAGCCTCCACTGTACTCTCTTGCTTCTGTGGGCTACTCCTCTACTCACACTTCATTATGAACCCCTCCTCACTGCAGATAGCTGAACCTGCTCACTAGGCCCAGTTAACCCAGGCTCTCTGAACCTAGGCTTTGCGCTACTGTCTACTACACACCCCAGTCTATGTGCGACTCCCAGTTTTCCATGTATACACACCATAGACCTCTGTCTGTCTGCATCCTCCAGTCTCTGCTGCTCACATCAACCTTGAATACACTGATTTAATTCAGATTATAGAAACCACGTTCAGATTTAATAAAGAGATAAGCCTTTATGTGGAGGCCTGTTTGCGCCCAGAGAGAGAATGAGCGTCTCTGAATGTGACAGTGTTTAATGGGTGTGTTTCTGGTAATCCCCACTTCTAGCCAGCTTTCCCTCTCCATAGACCACAGAGACATGGAGAGAGATGCGGTGTTGCAAAGCAAATACTCTGATTTTAATTCACACCAATGGCAAGAGTAAAACCAGAACTGCTAACATTCTTCACATGCCCTATATCCAGGGATTATGTTTGTTAAATTTAAAGGCATGATTTTAAAACAGAAGGCTGTCGGCTATAGTTTTAATTGGCCAATGTAAGATTACAGTACCAAATCCTATTTAGATGAAAAGACAAGACAAAAGGCAATTTTGCCCTTTTAAAAGCCCTCTTTTTATGGTGACAAAACGAGTTGATTAAACCAGTATGGTATTCTATTTGCATTTCCCCCATATAAGCCCGCCTTTATGCTTTGATTGACAGCTACCTGTCTGTCCCGCCCCTACAGGTGGAGTTTGAGGGTCTGAAGCACGAGATTCGTCGTCTGGAGGAAGACACCCAGTTCCTGAACAGCCAATTGGAGGACGCAATCCGCCTGAAGGAGATCGCCGAGCGACAGTTAGGGGAAGCCCTGGAGACCATCAAGACTGAGCGCGAGCAGAAGGCCGCCCTGAGGAAAGAGCTATCCCACTACATGAGCATAGGAGACTCTATGTACCACAGGTACACACACAATCAAAGGCACCAATTCCATCTGTAACACCTCATGCATTCATCAAAACCCTGTACAATATAATAAAAACAGTTATGAGAATAACTGTGAAATTCATGTTTTCATGTTATCATGTTCTGGTCCTCTCCCTCTCCCCAGCCCCCTCAGCATCTCTCTGGATGGTCTCAAGTTCAGCGATGACGCAGCCACGGAACCCAACAACGACGAGGCTCTCCATGGTTACGAGAACGGCTTCAGCAAGCTGGCCAACGCCATCACTGAGGACAACCGTGCATCCACGCCCAAGAAGGGTGACCTGTTCCGCCCCGTCCCCAGCCTGGTAGACGACCTGCTGAGTGAACTCAACATCTCTGAGATCCAGAAACTCAAACAGCAGCTGCTGCAGGTACATAGACAGTTAATTTGAGTATGTCTGTGTTCACTGTGCATGATAGGGATAACAGTCAGGAATATCCAGCTGCTGCAGGTATAACCATAGCGGGTCATTCATTCAGTGAATCTGTTTACACTGTGTATGATATGAATGACGTCAAGGTTTGAATTACACATTGATACTGAAATGTTCAAAACAAACGTTGATATCTTCAAAGCCTATGGGAATGTCGTAATATGTTATTGTAGTGCCCAGTACCCTCAGTCACCCTCGTAATTCAAGTGTTTGTTGGCAGTGGGGAATAGAAGAATGGACTATTGACTGCACACTGTGTGTAGACTCACTTAATATACACTTTCCCAGTGTATTTGAAGGCCCAGTCTACACACACTAACATAAATTAGTTATGTAAATTAGTTATGGCGATCCGATCAATATTCACTTCTGAGATCCAATAACGGTGTACATCAGAGTGACCTGACCATTGCAGTTAGCTCCTATGTATAGCCTAGTGGTCAAATAGGAGCTAAGTGCAATGGTCAGGTCACTCTGAAGAAGACGTCAGCTTGACGTCGAAACGTCAGTCACCTGTTCTCATTCTGTTCTCATCCTGTACAATGGATTAGTGTGAGCCCCAAAAAAATATCTGCCTTTTTTGTTGAGTGCTCCAAATCCTTTCTGCGTCGAATTAGTCCTTCTGGAAGTTTTTCTTGGTAAGCCGTTCTCATGACTTTTGTCATTGTTGTTGTGCACCCTCCTTTCCTTTGTTTGCTGAAGCGAAGGCCCACCCGAACACTGTACATCAGTCATCCCCCGGAAGGGTCCAGAAGGATATTAATTCAATAGTAGAGCTGTTGAGAAGGCTCAGTCTATCACTTACTGATTCATTAATTGTCATTGGTCCAGACAAGCCAAAGGGAGATCAAAGTCAATTACAGCATAGAGCCAAAAGCAATAAAACACCATAGAACTCCTATACTTTAGGTTTACAGATAGCAAATACTGATTAGGGTTTTTCTATCTCAGGCTGTCATGTACTATAGATCTCTGTATAGCCTCATCAACTCTTAGAGCCTACATATCATCCATTGGAATCAGAACGATTTCCTTGACTACTCTAGAAGCCAAGCCTCTTGTTGGAATGTGAAGTCGGTCGGTCGACTCGGTCAGTCAGTCAGTCAGACAAGTGTGTCCAGTGGCTACTCATGCAGGCTACACGCATCTCAATTATGTTAGGGGGATCTAATCCCCCGGGATGCCACACACATGAGGCGCCACCACCGGTGGATCTGCCATCTATCAGAACGCCTCAGATGTCTCCATGGTTACCAGTGTGTACTGGTTGGATACCTGTGGGTGAAAAGACTCAAGTCCCCCCCCTCCCCCCTAACACACATCACAATGAGGTTGTCACCAGGATGCCTCTAGGTTACCATAGCATTGTCTTGGTATGAGTACCATGACATTTAACCCGATCCGGTCCTTTGATACTGAATTTCAGAGGCAGCAGCAGCAGGCCTTGGTGTTCAGCATTAAGCCAACATAGTGTCAACCAGCCCTTTGGGTCTCCTCCTCTGGCCGGAATCGCAACAGGGAAACCCAAACCTCTACTCAATAATTAAACTGCTCCGATGCCATTCTCTCTCTCCTCATCCTGTCGATCACAGACTGATTAATCAATCCCAGACATCCGCTCGCAGCAGGTCACCCTACTCCTCAGTTACAGCAGAATCCATACTCCCACTGTGCAATCAGATCCAAAATGGCTGCCGTGGGAGTATGATGCCCACTCATGCGAACCAGTTGCCCTTTTACACAGTAGGCCCAGTGGCCTATATGCCTTTTACACATTTAGGTCACGTCCGTCTGCATTAGAGGATGGAAGATGAGTCCTAGCTGTAAGCAGCAGGCATCTTTAACATGCCAAACATCTACTCTGAGGAAATAATTTGATTAAGACACTCCTCAAGCTTGGCATTACCAAGATGCTTGTCAAGGTCATCAACAGGAATTAGGGAGGGGGACAGATTGAGGGTGGGGTGTGGCAAGGGGGGCGGGGTATGGCAAGCTGTATTCTTAGTGTCAGTATCATCACATAATGAAGTTTGTATATACTTTACTTAAAAATACAGTATGCTGAGAGCTAAAAGTACCTTTCCTGACTGTTCATGTCTAAATATTCTAGATAGATATTTATTAAACCATTTCCTCCTTTTGAGTCCTGTCATCGAGGCATCACAGCTGAATAATAGAGTAAGATGAACAGGAATGTGATGCTCATCTATTATTGACACACACCACCAGCCCCTGAAAATAGCTGGGTGCTTCTGAGGCCTGCACTACTCTGTGTGAGTGCTTGTGTGTGTAAGTGGACCCAGCTCTGGTCCCTCTGCCAACACAGAGTTGAACCCATTCCAGACTTCTCCAAGGTCACCCAGGCTCTGAATTGGCACAGTGACACACTGTCTTTGGTTACATACTGTAGCGTCCTTAGTGAGCCCCTCAAACCACCAGAGATGTTATCTGTTATATTGAAAAACAGCCACCTTCATCATCCTTCAGGACATTCATATGCATTAGGCAGTATGAGACGGAAAGGGATAGAGCAACACTAGGAAATGGGAAGATTATATCTGCATAATTATGTCTGAATTCTAATGTTTATCAATTGTGTCAGTCACTTTTCTGTCCAGACACTTACCTTACCAAATTAATAAATATGTCTTATGTTCTGTCTCCCCTCGTCTAGATGGAGCGTGAGAAGGTGTCTCTGGTGTCCACGCTGCAGGACTCCCAGAAGCAGTTGGAGCAGGCCCACGGGGCCCTGGAGGAGCACCAGGACAAGGTCAGCCGTCTCACCGAGAACCTCAACGCCATCCGGAGGCTACAGGCCAGCAAGGAGCGCCAGTCAGCCCTGGACAATGAGAAGGAGCGCGACAGCAACGAGGACGGGGACTACTATGAGGTTGACATCAACGGACCCGAGATCCTGGAGTGCAAGTACAAGGTAATTGAACATGTATACATACACATACAAGGTTTTTTCTTTATTTGTACTATTTTTTTAATTGTAGAATAATAGTGAAGACATCAAAACTATGAAATAACACATATGGAATCATGTAGTAACCAAAAAAGTGTTAAACAAATCAAAATATATTTTATATTTGAGATTCTTCAAATAGCCACCCTTTGACTTGATGACAGCTTTGCACACTCTTGGCATTCTCTCAGCCAGCTTCATGAGGTAGTCACCTGGAACGCATTTCAATTAACAGGTGTGCCTTCTTAAAAGTTAATTTGTGGAATTTCTTTCCTTCTTAATGCGTTTGTGCCAATCAGTTGTGTTGTGACAAGGTATGCAGAAGATCGCCCTATTAGGTAAAATACCAAGTCCATATTATGGCAAGAACAGCTCAAATAAGCAAAGAGAAACTACAGTCCATCATTACTTTAAGACATGAAGGTCAGTCAATACAGAACATTTCAAGAACTTTGAAAGTTTCTTCAAGTGCAGTCGCAAAAACCATCAAGCGCTATGATGAAACTGGCTCTCATGAGGACCACCACAGGAATGGAAGACCCAGAGTTACCTCTGCTGTAGAGGATAAGTTCATTAGAGTTACCAGCCTCAGAAATTGCAGCCCAAATAAATGCTTGACAGAGTTCTTGTCACAGACACATCTCAACATCAACTGTTCAGAGGGGACTGTGTGAATCAGGCCTTCATGGTCGAATTGCTGCAAAGAAACCACTACTAAAGGACACCAATAATAAGAAGAGACCTGCTTGGGCCAAGAAACACGAGCAATGGACATTAGACCGGTGGAAATGTGTCCTTTGGTCTGGAGTCCAAATTTGAGATTTTTGGTTCCAACCGCCGTGTCTTTGTGAGATGCGGTGTGGGTGAACGGATGATCTCCGCATGTGTAGTTCCCACCGTAAAGCATGGAGGAGGAGGTGTTATGTTGTGGGGGTACTTTGCTGGTGACACTGTCTGTGATTTATTTAGAATTCAAGGCACACTTAACCAGCATGGCTACCACAGCATTCTGCAGCGATACACCATCCCATCTGGTTTGGGCTTAGTGGGACTATCATCTGTTTTTCAACAGGACAATGACTCAACACACCTCCAGGTTGTGTAAGGGCTCTTTTATCAAGAAGGAGAGTGATGGAGTGCTGCATCAGATGACCTGGCCTCCACAATCCCCTGACCTCAACCCAATTGAGATGGTTTGGGATGAGTCGGACGGCAGAGTGAAGGACAAGCAGCCAACAAGTGCTAAGCATATGTGGGAACTCCTTCAAGACTGTTGGAAAAGCATTCCAGGTGAAGCTGGTTGAGAGAATGTCAAGAGTGTGCAAAGCTGTCATCAAGGCAAATGGTGGCTATTTGAAGAATCTGAAATATAAAATATAGTTTGATTTGTTTAACACTTTTTTGGTTACTACATGATTCCATATGTATTATTTCATAGTTTTGATGTCTTCACTATTAATCTACAATGTAGAAAATAGTACAAATAAAGAAAAACCCTTAAATGAGTAGGTGTTCTAAAACTTTTGACTGGTACTGTATACTGTATGCACACACAAGCACATGCACACACACACACGTTTGTTTTACTGTCCTTGTGGGGACCAAACAATTGATTCTCATTCAAAATCCTATTTTCCCTAAACCTTAACCTAACCCTAACCTTAACCCCTAAACCCAATTCTAACCCTAAACCTAACCTCTAAGCCTAAAATAGCCCTTTTCCTTGTGGGGACCGGCGAAATGTCACCACTTCTCTGAATTTTCCTTGTTTTACTATCATTGTGAGGAATTTTGGTCTCCACATAGATAGTAAAACCAAAATCACACACACACACACATACACACTCACAGATGTTGAAGCTATTCCTGAAACTCTGCCTCTGGTGTACTCAGGTTGCGGTGTCGGAGGCAGGTGAGCTAAAGGAGGAGCTGAAAACTCTGAAGGCGGAGTACCAGTCCTGTCAGTCACACTACGAGGAGGACCGAGGCCGTCTGGAAACTCATGTCACAGCCCTTGGAGAGAAGCTGGCCTCTCTGGAGAAGACCAGCCACGTGGAGAGAGAGGAGAAGGCCAGGCTGGAGAAGGAGCTGCGCAAGGTGAGAAACATATATATATTTTTGTGTTATATTGGTGAATGGTTATCTGTAGTTGATTTTTTCCTTTTCTCTGTGTATGAATAGTGTATATATATTTTTCTCATACTTGCAAACCATATTTCTCACTTAGATATTAATGACTGGTTTATTAATTGACAAAGTTTCTCTCTTTCTATCTGTAAAGGTGAGTGACGTGGCTGGTGAGTCACAGGGCAGCCTGAGCGTGGCACAGGACGAGCTGGTCACCTTCAGCGAGGAGCTGGCCACCCTCTACAACCACGTGTGCATGTGCAACAACCAGACTCCCAACCGCGTCATGCTCGACTTCTACAAGCAGGGCAAGGGCGGGCGCACCAGTCCTGAGGGTCGCGGCCGCCGCTCCCCCATACTGCTCACTAAGGGCCTGTTCCCCGTCCCAGAAGCTGCAGACAGCGCCCCGTCCCCTGTCTCCTCTCCCCCCTCACCACGGGAGCCAATGAACGTGTACAACCTGGTGGCCATCATCCGGGACCAGATCAAGCACCTGCAGCTGGCGGTGGACCGCACCACAGAGCTGTCCCGTCAGAGGATGGCCTCTTTGGAGCTGGGCACCGTGGCTGATAAGGACAAGGAGGCCTGCATGGGGGAGATCCTCAAACTCAAGTCCCTGCTCAGCACCAAGAGGGAGCAGATCGCCACCCTGAGGACCGTGCTCAAAGCCAACAAGCAGGTCAGATACTGAATCTCTCTGTTTGTATCTCCCTCCCCTCCCCTAATAATCAGAGTCAGGAGACTGAGGCAGGGACGTGGCTGTCTAAAGCCTGTTCAGCTATCACAGCAAATGCACTGCAGCCAAGAGTCATTACAAAACACCATGTAGAGACAGCTGGTGGCTGTGGGTGTGTGTCTGTATCTGTGTTTCCATGTGAAAGAGTTAGGAAAAGATGAACGCTCTCTAAAGCAGACACACCCTGCCAGCCCAGAGCCTCAATGTGTGTGTGTCCAGTTGCTGGTGTCAGCTCTTTGAAGATGGTGTGTGTTCCTCAGCTCCTGAACCTGTGGAAAGACTCTCAGATGAAAGCCTGTCGTAAAAAGACACACCTGTAGTCTTTAAATCCAGCCATCTCCCCAATGAACTGCTGTGCAAGAAAACCTTCAGAGGTCACAGCACTAAAACAGACTATAATGACATAAATATGCAGGAAAAAGACTCAAAATGACCTATTGCAGTTGGTGTGACTCGTTGTTGTGTTGTGTCCCCCCCCTGCAGACGGCTGAGGTGGCGCTGGCCAACCTGAAGAGTAAATATGAGAACGAGAAGGCCATGGTGACGGAGACCATGATGAAGCTGAGGAACGAACTCAAGGCCCTGAAGGAGGACGCCGCCACCTTCTCCTCGCTCCGAGCCATGTTCGCCACACGGTAAGAGGAATACGCTATCACACTTCCTGTTTAAAACACATTAGGAACACACTATCACACTCCTAGTTTAAAACACACGTTAAAAACAAGTTATCACACTCCTTGGCCACACAGTAAGAGAGTAGTCAACCATGCTCCAAGAACAGACATTTACATATGCTCTCCCTGTATACAATGGTAACAGATGAATCTGTGCACATGAGATCAGGTTTGAGACTGTATGTATGCTTTATGTTTGCTACAGTACAAGACAAGTACCTAGTTTACCTACACATATCATGAAATAAACCCACCACACCAAAAGATAAGCACCAGCTCTTATCTACATTACAAGAGTAGTTACGATATCACTGCATGACAATATCAATACCATTGCAATATGGTGTTTACATACATGTATATTGTTTACATACATATTCTGTATTTAGCATGTACATGTATTAAAAAGTTGTTGCCATGAGATTAAATGGAAAGATTGATTGACCAAAACACCTATTACTCCCGGTGTACATCTGGCCACTTTTAATATGTTAACCTACCAGTAACACCACAGAGACACCATCCTAAGACCACACTCACAACAAGCTAAATCTCTGTTTAACAGCACATGCCATATTTACCATATGGTAACGACGTGTCCATAACATGCTTTTAATATCAGACAGGTTTAATAGGAGTATTGTTTTTCTCTGTGAATCTGGGCCAGTGGAGGATGGCCATACGATGGACACATCTCTAATCTGTATGATAATTACTATGATGGAGAAGCAGTGTTTTTGACCAGTGTATCAGATGAAGGGGCTATGTTAAAACCCCTTGCTGGCTAAGTCTGCTGATTCCCATAAGAAGCAGGCCAAAGGGTTTCCCTTATAATCCCTACCTCAGTCTAGACTGGATTACTACCTCAGATACACTGTCCTGTACTACAGTCTCAACATAGTCTCAACGTAGTCTCCCTGTACAGTAGTCTTCCTCCTGAAGGAGTGGGTGTGTTTTTGGGGTGGGGGGGGGGGGTCTATGTTGGTGGGTGGATGGGTGTGACAATGACTATGAGTATCGGTACACGTGTGTACACTATATTAATGTACTGCACATTATTTTTGTACTTTTTTTGCTCTGATCTTCTCCTGCAAACCTCCCTGGACCAGATGGCGATTCTGAGGCAGTCTCTCTCTGTCTTTAAGACTCCCCAGCTTACAGCAAAGCTCATATCATGCTGTGCTAAAAGTAGAGGAGAGAGGAGGGGAGGGCTGCGCCATCCACAGAGTGTGTGTACTCAGCACCCCTCATCTTTACAGTAGGGTAATGCTATATCTTCACTACCAGTCCATTAGCTGGTGTTATTGAGAAACTCTATATAACTGCAGTAGCTAATCGATTAGCATGGTGGAGAAAACTGTCTTCCTCTGTAAATATGAGTGTTTCTGTTGTCATAACGATTTGGTGCAATGCAGGGCCAGATGGTCTGATGATGCAGGTGTTAAACCATCCCTCTGAAGACATAAGAAGAGTTCAGCTCTCACTGAGCACCTCAGAGGCAACCATTTAGAAAATAACTGACATTGTGCTTAGAATAGCTAGCACCAGAGATACTGTATATAATGATGAGATGGTCTTGTCTCCACCCTAACAATGGGAGTTGTTGTCCCAAAGGCAGGAAGGCAGGCGGTCTACTTATCGGTCTGCTTATCGGTCTGCTTATCACTGTACTTTGACTTGGACCCTCTCACTTCGCCTCTTCCTCTCTGCTGGCACTGAACAATCAGGGGTTTCAAACCAAGTGGCCGTTAAGAGGTAGTGGCTATTATCAGCAGAACGAGGGTGTTCGATATGATACAGTGGAAAAGGGCAGCTGCAGAGAGGGGCATGTTAAATGTTTATTTCCCTGGTCTCCATCCCTGTCCTCATTTGCTGTTGTAAGAGACTGATGATGCTGATAACTAAACAAAACATAACATAGCTCAGCTCTGCTCTGGGGGCCTCAGAAAATTGGCTCTTAACCTCCCCCTCAGTCTTAACCTTGTATGGTGATTGCTATGTGTCTTAGATATACTTAATGTAACGTTTTTTGTTATTCCCTATATAGTGCAGTATAGGGAATAGGGAGCCATTTTGAACGCGGCATCAGTATGTTCAGGGCTGTGTACAGCCTTGGTGTTGGTGGTGGTTTCCAGTCAGTATACTGGCTGGAGCCTGTATGTATTGGTATGCTAATTTTGCCCTATAGAATGATGGTGGGGCAGGAGGAGAAGGGGTGGAGGCCTCTTTGAGAAGCTTTAAGAGGCAGAGGGACGTGACTGACCCACGTTTCCCACACTCCCCCTGTTTCTTCCCTCCATGCCCTCATCCGTCCTTCATCCTCACAGCAAAACATCCTACAGAGAGAGAGAGAGAGAGATGGATGGAGGGGTCTTTCATTTCAGCTTCTCTACAGGGACTTAATTTGAGTCTTTCTCATGGTAATTCCATTTTTGACATACTCTGTCGAGTTAAAGGTAGATTTTTGGATTTCTGAGACTTTCAGTGGACTGCCTCAGTTTGGAGTGTTTGGCCTCAGAGTGAGGAAGTTAGAGTGAATAGAGTGAGACTGAATGAATGTACAAGTCTTTGTGTGACCGTTTTGTATAATGCAAGCTCCCAATGTGTGTGTGTGCGTGTGCGTGTGTGCGCTCGCTTTACTCCAGCTGTGGTATCAGTTTACAGTAAGATCCTGGCTCTTACATTCCTAAGACATGTCTGGACATGCCTGCTCTCAGCAGCCCTCAGCTCTATACACACAAGACAAGACAGGTACTCCCTGACGAAGGCCATGCAGCCGAAACGCATCAGAGTTTTTAATCTTGGTTTCCACTGAACATGCCATACAAATAAAGGCATTTTAATTAGCTACATGTAAAGTGTTGGTCCCATGTTTCATGACCTGAAATGAAAGATCCCCGATATTTTCCTTACGCACAAAAAGCTTATTTCTCTGAAATGTTGTGCACAAATTTGTTTACATCCCTGTTAGTGAGCCTTTCTCCTTTGCCAATATAATCCATCCACCTGATAGGTGTGGCATATCAAGAAGCTTGAACTGGGGACAATAAAAGGCCACTCTAAAATGTGCAGTTTTGTTACACAACACAATGCCACAGATGTCTAAAGTTTTGAGGGAGTGTGCAATTGGCATGCTGACTGCAGGGATGTCCACCAGAGCTGTTGCCAGATAATTTAAAGTTAATTTGTCTACCATAAGCCGCCTCCAACGTCGTTTTAGAGAATTTGGCAGTACGTCCAACCGGCCTCACAACCGCAGACCACGTGTAACCACGCCAGCCCAGGACCTCCACATCCGGCTTTATCACCTGCAGGATCGTCTGAGACCAACCACCCGGACAGCTGATGAAACTGAGGAGTATTTCTGTCTGTAATAAAGCCCTTTTGTGGGGAAAAACTCATTCTGATTGGCTGGGCCTGGCTCCCCAGTGGGTGGACCTGGCTTCCAAGTGGGTGGGCCTATGCCCTCCCAGGCCCACCCATGGTTGCGCCCCTGCCCAGTCATGTAAAATCCATAGATTAGGACCTAATTTATTTGTTTATATGAACTGTAACTCAATAAAATCTTTGAAATTGTTGCATGTTGTGTTTATATTTTTGTTCAGAGTATCTTTGTCTTCCTCTGATTTCCATGTTGTTATTACTTTCATTGTTGGTTATGTTATTCCTTCTTTCTCTCCCCCCTCCTCCCTCCTGAGTCCTCTTTCTCATCCTCCACCATGACCAGTGCTGTTCCCACATAGCCAGAGAACAGTTGAAGGGAGTGTGTGGGTCTGAGTACACAGTCCATGTGACAAACAAATGTGCTGTAGTGCTGTGTGCCTGCACGCATATGTCGGTATGTTTAGGGCGTATGCGCCTGTCTGTGTAGTCCATACCCTCCCTATGAACGCGTCGTCATATTTCAGTAAGCGCATGCGTGTGTGGGTGTGGATATGGGTATATGCTGTGCACATTATGTATACTCTGAGCGTATGTGTGTGTGCAGTGAGCCTATGTGTGTTTCGTGACCCCTGGCTACTGTAGATCATCTGAGACGTGGGGTCTCTGTTCCTCACTACTCTGAATGTGGAGACTGTTTGTTCTACAAAGGGCCAGCCGCCCCCCAGACACCCAGGGCCCCTCTCTATCAGACCAAGAATAGCCCCATTGTAACCCCTCATCCCCAGAATGGAACCCTGTATTTTTTCCCGGGAAAACCCACGCCCTCTTACACCCTCCCCCCAGCATGGCTGGTCCGTCTTAAAGTGCACTGCGACTCCTGGGACCCCCCCCCCCCCCATTCGCCATCTCACACTGGGTCAAATGAAGCTGCACTGATCCCCATTGTCTGGGTGTGTGTCCCAGTGGGAATCAGACTGCAAACGGGGACTATGTTTGTGTATGTGGGGGAAGAGAGGGTACACATCACAGGAGCAATAACACAACACCTCAACGGGCCAATAGTGAGAGACTCAATTACATAATGAGTTCTTATGTGAGCAATAAGAAGAGGCTTTCAGCCATTGATTGGGGCAATGGTAAGAACCACAACAGACCTCAGCAACATAGTTGTCGTGTTGTTGTTTTATAGATTGTTATTGACACTTGGAAGTGTAGAGGAAAACATTCCAATCCACCAGATAGAACAGGCAGTGTTTTTTGTCCCACGGTTTAGATTCAGAGTCAGTAATTCCTTTGATATAATTCAGTGCCAGGGAGTGTTCTAATTGCAGAATGTGTGGAGCCCTGCAGGCAGGATTGAGGGAGTGCTTTGAGATGCCATTTCTTTGGTGCCAATGTGGGTTAGGCTAAAGGACAGCTGGAGGGGAAGGTAGGACGCAGATATCTCTGCAGAGGTGTGGCTAACATCATTACTGGGGAATGTCAAGCTAGAATAGAGGAGTTTGATGGAAGGCTAGAGAAAGATGGAGGGAGGGAGAGAAGAGGAAAACAAGAGAAAGGATGGAGGAAGGATGATAAAGAGATACATGAAGGAAGGATGGAGGAAGGATGATAAAGAGATACATGAAGGAAGGATGGAGGAAGGATGATAAAGAGATACATGAAGGAAGGATGGAGGAAGGATGATAAAGAGATACTTGAAAGAAGGAGGGAGGGAGGGAGGGAGGGAAGGAGATGATGGAGAGATTTAATATGAGGATGCAGGGAAAGGAGAGAGAGTGAAAGAGAAAATGGCATAATGATTAATAATGAGAGAGGAGGGGTGTAGCAGATGAAAGACAGTGATATGAACCCCTGCCTCTACATTCCGGGCAGCATGACCTAGTTTTTCGCACCTGCCTGGCCATAACACACACACATTCACACACACCAGATCACAAGGGTATAGAAAGGGTAGGTTTAGCTTCACAGCACAGTGAAACTAATGAAGAGATAGAAAGAGAGAGGGAGAGAAAGGCGAAAGAGTAGTTAATATCTTGAGGTATTTCACACTAATGTGAGAGGCAGAGTTTAGACTGTATGTTATATTACATAGATGCTAGAGAAAAGGTGAAGACAGATTAATATAAGAGATAGAGAGAGGACAGTAAATCTAGATCTGTGAACTCAGAAGTATCTCCTCGAGACTTGTACCTCTCTCGTCTTCTCTCTCTCCCTTAGCCCACTCCCAAGGTGATGCAGGAGGGATCTTGGAGCCGTCCCCTGGGTTAAAGCTTTCCCCCTTTGTGTGTGACCTATTATTAACTCACTCCGTGCTCTGACTCCTCATATTGTCATGCAGACAGACAGACTGAGGCCCACGGTAGAGCTGCATTCAGAATGAATGTTAATCACACCCATAGGGTTTTTAGTCCTCATCAGCATAGCCCACATGAAAACCTGGGACACATTCAAATGGGCTGTATGTTAAGCTAATAAACTCTGCATATATTAGCATACTGTGTTTGGATATTAGCAGTACAAAGTGATTAATGTGTAGCTGGGCCTTGGGATGAAGAGTGTACCGTTTGGTTAAGGGGGGAAGGGGGGGAATGTGAATAGTAAATACATCTCTACATTCTCTAGTGTACCAGTGCAACACTTGAGTGAATCTTGTGGGGGTGAAATGAGATCCTGTTGTTTTACAGGATGATGACAGTTCAGGTGCTGGGGGAGATGGAGAGATAGTCTGGTGAAATGGTAGAGTGCCTTCAAGGCTCTGATAGACACCTCAAGGTCTCTAGCTGGTGGTGAAGACAGGCACTGGGGACGTAGGTCAAAGGTCAAGATGAATATATGTCAATACGTGTTTCTTGCATTGGTTTTCAGAGGGTGCAAAGGGCAGTAAAATCCTTCAGAAATGGCCACAGACAATATGAACAGTCTGAATGGAGAGCCAGACCTTTACCAATGGTAGCGAACCGTACAGACCACAGTCACTGCGTCACTGTACCTTTGGCTGTTAACAATGCAGGTTGCTACTGCCACCTACTGGATGGCCAGTGAAAATGTAGCAATTGTCATCTCTGGTGTCCTTCAAGTTCAAAGACTGGAATATCACTTACTTTGGAGACAAATGCCTGATTCTAATGTGATCTCTCTCTCTCTCCCTATCTCTCTCTCTCCTTCCATCCCTCTCTCACTCTCCCTCCATCCCCCTCTCTCTACCCTGTTTCCCCTCTCTCTCACTCTCTCTCTCTCTCTCTCTCCTCTCTCTCTCTCTCTCCCTTCCTATCCCTCTTTCTCCTCCTATCCGACTCTCTCCCTCCATCCTCTCTCTCCCTATCTCTGTATCTCTCACTATCTCTCTCTCTCTCTCTCTCTCCCTCTCCCTCCTTCTCTCCTGTAGCTGTGATGAGTATGTGACTCAACTGGATGAGATGCAGAGACAGCTGTCTGCGGCGGAGGATGAGAAGAAGACCCTGAACTCCCTGCTCCGTATGGCCATTCAGCAGAAGCTGGCCCTGACCCAGCGCCTGGAGGACCTGGAGTTTGACACCGAGCAGACCCGCCGCGGAGGCAAACCAAAAGCCAGAACCACTAACGGCAGAACCACCAACGGCCAGACCAACACCGCCAACAACCCCCGCGTAAGTCACGGCCTCACCTGTGCCGGCATCGGCCGCCCCAACGAGCCCAACGCCATGCCCAACGGCATCCGTGGAGGCCCCGTGGTCTTCTGCAGCGAGAAGTACAAGATCTACTGCGACTGAAGCGGCTGCGTTGTCAGCATGGGACTGCTGTGTACAGAGGGGAGGAGCCCGAGGCTCTCCCCTGCATTCATGTTAAAGAGCCCCACTATGCTCGCTTAGCTCCCTGCCTGCCCAGCCTGCAGCCTCATAGGGCCTGGTGTGTGTCTAACCTACAGTACATACGTATGCCCATGGCCACGTATGGCCGCTCACGCCTGCTAGTGTAAACGCTTAGGGGAATGCAGACGTACAGTGTGCACTAGAAGTTTGGGACTGTTATAGACATAATTTATGGCATGTGGATAGGGTCTCAACCAGCCGCCGTTGGGCTTCTGTGGATATTATGGGGTGCTGTACTTATGATGATGTAAAAGGTGGCAGCTTTTGTGCTTTGTGTGTTCTGACCCCCCTGAGTGTGTTGCCTGGTAACGGTAATGCGTTTGGGGGGTGGGGACTTGGGAAGAGGGCGTCACTTTACGGGTTCATGTGACTGAAGTTGACGTCCTCTCCTCGTGTTGCTCGTCTGTTGGCATTGGTGCTCCTTCGATAAAGCCCCCCAACCTCCTCTCTCTCCTGGCCCCCCAGGACTGAGCCAGCCCCAGCAACCCGCTGACCAATCAGGTCACTCTTTAATGTTTACATAAACGAATGAAACAAAATAATATGCAAACTCCCCCTGCTGTTGCTAGGGGAGTCCAGTGTGATTTGCTGGGTTCTCTAACTGAATTTTAAAACTCTCGAAGCGGGTTGGCTGATGATTAGTGATGTTGGAGGTGGGTGGTAAAGGAGCACCTAAGACCACAGGTGTTTAATTTCAGGATCCTTTAAGCTGTGATGCTAGTACACCAACACGGTAGATTCATTCAGGCCAATTGCATGGCATTGCAGCTGAGAATGCTACTGAGCTTTTAACAGTTTGTCTATGTAAAAAGGTGTGTGGCACAGCACAAGCTATGTACTACAGGGCTCTACATTTTAACCAGAGCAGTTATTTAACGTCTGCTGAAACAAACGGAGGGCTATTCCATGTGACCCAGTATATGTCATATTGGTGTTCTTTCAGAGCCATATTACTAGAGAACGAAAGCAAGACAAAACGGTCTCTACACCTAAATTAAGTGCACTTCAGAATAGGTGCCTCAGGTTCTAACTTCTATTAGAAAATGATCAAATAACTGTGAACAGATACAATATAGTTTTGATTGATGGTGATTTTTGTAACAGAAAATATCCTAAAAGAGCACAACAATCAATGGCACCCAGATCCGGATCATAATTCTGCAAACAAAACCGACAACCCTCGGCAAAGTGCCTGTCGACTCAAACACTTGATATCAACTATATCTATCTGTCGATGTAAAGCCCCGTCTTTGTGTCTATCACCCTAATGCTGATCTCTCTCTCTCCCTCTATCTTCTCTCCCTCTCTTTTGGAGGCCCTTTTGAGCTCTCAAATGAACTATGTGTGGTTATGTGGCTGAAAACCCTGTCCTCCTCCTCATGTCTCTAACCTGTGTATCGTTGCTTGGTTGTCATGACAACCCCTCTCTCTCTTTTAGATTGTCAGCAGCTTGCTCGCCCTGAAACGCCGCTCTCCCTTTAAGTAGAGAGGGGGATTGTGGGAAAAAAAACTCTGAATATTGTTAGGTAATGTCCTCACGCGTATGCGTGTTCTGAACCCTGCCTCTGTGTGTGTGTGTGTGTGTGTGTGTGTGTGTGTGTGTGTGTGTGTGTGTGTGGACGTGTTTAACTATTCTTGTGGGGACCAGAAGTCCCCACAAGAATAGTAAACAAACAAAAATTGGACCAACTGGGGACATTTTGTTAGTCCCCAAAAGGTAAAATGCTATTTTTAGGGTTACGGTTAGAATTAGTGTTAGGGTTAGAATTACATTAAGGGTTAGGAGCTAGGGTTAGTTTTAGGGTTAAGAGCTAGGGTTAGGTTTAGGGTTAAAGTTAGGGTAAGAGTACGGGTTAGGGTTAGGGTTAGGTTTAGGGTTAAGGGTTAGGTAAAATTTGATTTTGAATGGGACTGAATTGTGTGTCCCCACAAGGTTAGCTGTACAAGACTGTGTGTGTGTGTGTGTGTGTGTGTGTGTGTATGTTGTTTTCTAAAAATATTGCAAATGGAGGGTAGTTCATTTTTGAGATGCTGTTTGTATGCGAGAGGACAAACCAATATACTTCTTCATTATCCCAAAAAAGCTTTAACCCTTGCAAGCTTGTGCCAGGCAGATTTTAAAAAATGAATGTGGGGCTTGTGTTAAATAAATCCATGTAGTACATAACCACACATTGTTAGCTTTATGATGCTAAAAGCAGGGTTGATGCAAGGAAATCCTTGAAGATTAATCAAATTATGCTTTTTCTACCAGTAACCTATATAAAACTATATATTCTTAATTATATGATCGTAATCAGGTTCAAATCTTCTAGGATCCTCCTAGGCCCCCTCTCTCTGATATAGAGAGGGAGAGCTTTGGTTCCTCAGAACGAGGGACATCCCCAACCCTGCTTGAGTTGAGTATGTGCTGCGCTGCCCTACGAGGCCTTTAGACACATCACACAGTATGGAGACTGTGCTATCGCTCACATCAGACAAACACCTCCACGGAGGGAAAATCACTCTTCTGTTATTGTTCCACTTAAGCGACAGCGATAGAGTCACACTTTGTTTATATCAGTTTGCGCTGAGTGTAGAGACTGGGAGAGGACAGAGGAGTAATACTAGTGTTTAAACAATGCTGATCATGATTTTGATACTATGTTTGGAGAAATGGGTTCCAGGGTTTTCTGAGGGAGATGCTCTAAACCCCTGGTGATTTAAAAAAATGACAAATGTTTTTATATTAGGTTTTTCTTTAACTACTTTGTCTCTAAATGTGGTATCTTACCAGTGGACATTGATTCAAATTAGTTGACCCTCTATCCCCCTTCCCTTGTTTTGGCTCTTTGGATTCACTGAGCAATAGATAGATTTAATAATCCAGGATGTGATTGTGGCTAGAGAGATCCCCCATAGTTCTCTAGGTCTAGTTTGAAATCAATGTCCGTTTATCTGGTGTCATCAATAGAATGCCACCAGAATAAGCTCCTCCTACCTCTGTCTGCAGGCTCTGCCCACTTCAACTTTGAGTTCTCTCACACACTCTTAATTTTATTTCTGATTGGTTGAATGCCTGCATGTGTCAAAGGTCATAGTACTTGTGAGATCATCGGCTTCTTGCACTTGCATGGTCTTCCTCATGCAGTAGCGCTTTTACATCAGCTCCTCTGAAACATATTGACATGGTGTTGATATGACAGTCTGCTTCAAGACAACTAACCCAGTTTGCACCTACCTGTAGTTAGTAGCTACTATAACTAACTGGAGCTTCGGCGTTCATCTTTTTACTCTTTCTTATTTAGTGTTTTTGATTGGAATGGCATCATTGCTGACCAAGTTAACATCTAAATTGACCAATAATGCTAATTTTGAGGATTTCTTTGTTTCTTCGTTTTGCAGTAATTTAATTCTGCCCGGATGAGGATCCTCCAACACAGTATCCTCTAACACTGCCGACGTCACATTCAGTGTGCCAAAAACAGCTAGCCCAAGAGGCCGAAATTATAAAACCCACTTCAAGACTAAAAATACCAAATAAAATCTCTTATATGAATATGAAATATTCCTCCAAGTGGCCCTTTAACTCACTATATAGCATGAGCTATATGTCCTCTATGGCGTCTATAGGTATTTCACATTTCCTAGTGCTGCTGCCGGAAGCCGATGCTCACAAGTACAGTGAACTCTGCCCTCCTAGTGAAATTATTATCAGAGTTTGTGATTGGCTGAGTTATCCCTCCCATGAGAAGCCAGGGGAACCGGGATCTTTCCTCAATGTAAATCAACAAACAGTTTTGTCTGGTTTGATCTTTTTAGTTTTTTAGTTTTCTTTAACCTGTGCACTTTTATTATAGGATTATAACTTTATATTATTAACCTAGGAAAGGTTTAGTGCTATGGTTTGTGAGTTATTTAGTCAAGTATACACATATATGAATAGGAATATATTTCCTCCTATATGTTGTCTCTTTGTACCATCCACAGAGACCATTTACTCTCCTAAAGTCACACCGCAAACCAGAGTCCTACTATTAAGATTCTGAGAATTTATCCAACTGAATAACCATCCTTTTATTGTTATGTCTCATCATCATATTATTATTATTATTATTATTATGCTGTCGGTCTGATTTTATGTATGTTCTGCTGCCATGTTCTAAACAAAATCCAGGGTGAGCTAATTCTGGGGTTTTCATGTATTTATTATTCCTAGGAATAGTTCAAAGATAACGCGGAGAAACTTGACGACACTCTGATTCCAAAAATGGTAAGAAGTTCTTTGGGGAAGAAATGGAGTGACAAAATTATTTTGGTTTTCCCAGCTTCTTACCAGGGTGTCACACTGATAAGGGATCACTGGCTCACAGAATTCTCTGCAAGTGCAACGATTAAATTCCAAATTGGAATTGTTTCATTCTCTCTTTGTTTATCGTGCCAAATCTTGGTACATCATTTAGGTTTGAAAAGAATCAAGAATCAGAAAGAAAGACAAGCCGTACATCAGTGAGAAAGGTATAGTTTGGGGCCGTGGCTTTCTGTCCTAGCACTGCCTGGGTTTTGTTTTGGGTCTGTTTTGTTCTTCGTTCTGACCAGTCGTGCCTTTCATTGTTTCAAGGGAGAATCGTAGACTAGTATTTTTGTTAGTTTTATAGGTGAGGAGGTTTGGGTTTAAAACTACTTTGTGAGGAGCAATAAATGCAAAGATGAGCCCTTTTTGCAGGGGTGAGATGATAGTTTGGAAATTAGCTCAATTCAACTGATATTGTATTGAATTCTGCAGGTCAGTGATCCTAACAGAAAATTCAGGGGTATTGAGAAAAGGTTGCTTTTTTATCAAACTTTGGGAACCAAAATATATCCCTTTGGCCTCCTATTGAACAAAATGTTCCAAACACAACTGCTGTGTTTTGGGCAGA